TTTTATTTATATGGTTTATGCAACAGCAGAGACGACATATTCCGATAAGTGGTGAAATAATTTGCGAAAAAGCACGTTTATTTCACCGTGAAATAACAAAGCAGGAAGATGGTTTCACTGCTAGTAGAGGTTGGCTAGACAATTTTAAACATCGTCATGGTATTAAGCGCCTTAAAATAACGGGTGAGAAACTTTCATGGGACGAAGCATCAATCGAACCATTTCGAAATGAGTTACAGTTAGTCATAAATGAAAACAATTTAGACCTAGAACAAATTTATAACGCTGATGAATCCGGTTTATTCTGGCGAATGTTACCAGAGCATACATTGACATCAAGTCATGAGAAAAACGCCCCTGGAAGAAAAATTATTAAAGCTAGAATAACATTCATGCCTTGTGCTAATGCAAGTGGAACATATAAACTGCCTTTACTCGTCATTGAGACTGCACAAAAACCACGTGCGTTTAAATCAGTTAACCTTCCCGTATACTATCGTGGACAAAAAATGCTTGGGCCACTCGTGTTTTATTATTAGACTGGTTTCAAAAACAATTTGTTCCTGTAGTTCGTGAGCACCTTTTAAATGTAAATTTACCTCCAAAAGCTTTATTATTGTTGGATAATTGCCCTGGACATCCATCAGCAGAAGAATTACGTAGTGATGATGGCAACATTTTTGCAATGTTTTTACCCCCTAATACTACAGCGCTTATTCAACCGATGGATCAAAATGTAATTCAGAATATTAAATTAAACTATCGTAAGTCTCTCTTAGTCAATGTTCTTGCTGATCCGGTGCATGGTGAAAACTTTATTGATGCTCTAAAGGCCATAAATTTAAAAGACGCAGTTTTTAGTCTTGCAAATTGTTGGAATTTGGTTCCGCCAATGCTCATAAAGAAATCGTGGAAACACTTCCTTTCCAAACAGAAAATAAAATCGACGAAGTTGTTGAAATTAATGACATTCAACTTTCTACACTCATAAACCAGATACAGGAAACATGTACGAATAAAATGTCTGATTCTCAAGCACAGGAATGGGCTTGCCGTGGCGCAGACGAAAATTTAGCGAATCATAAAATCTTAACTGATGATCAAATTCTACAAATTGCAGCAAAAGAGGATGATATTGACGACGAGGATGAAAGTGGCTCAATCAGTACAAGTAAAGTTTCTCCTTTAAAATCTGTGAGTGCACTGAATAGTGTATTGCAATGAGCGGAAGATGAGAACATGGATAGCACTAATATTTTGTTGGTACGTCGATTAAGAGAACTCGCTTTTGAAATGAAAATTAAAAGTACTATTCAGAAAAAAATTACTGATTATTATACTTAAGTTCTACATATTATAATAAACTTTTTTTTTTTTTTTTTTGTAATTCATTAGTTTAGTTTTAATTTAAGTTGTTTATTATTCTTATAATTTAAAAATGCATTTAATATAAAGATGGTGAAATTAAAAATATAATCTTAGTCATTTGAGTAGGTAATTTTGAGAAACCTCCGGTAATCCGGACGATGCTCGGTCTGAATTCGTCCGGACTATCGAGGTTCTACTGTGGTAGTATCGAGCGCCGACACCGGTCGCAAACACACAGCATTACGCGATAACCCTTTCGTTCGATAAGCGTACGTTACAATTACCGATTTATAACAGGTACATGCCACAGTCCGTATTGTAGTGAATTTATTTTTTCCGCGATAACGCAAATCGTTCGTTGCCGGGCACATACAATACCACGTCGGTGTGCGTGTGGGTATGTATTTATGTACGTAAGTGTTCGTGTACCATTATCGTACGACTACTGTGACGATCGTCTCGCGATGTAAATGCATTTACGAATAATTTAATGTACACGTAATATATTCATGTACGATGCGTCGGGCGCCAGCGATGCGAATAACAGTGCTACAGCCGTTCGGTTTGCAATCAGTGCGCGCGCGGTGGTCACGTTAAAAAGCATTGCCGGTCGACGATAAGATTATCTTATTACCTTATTATATTATAGTGTATATATAATTATATGCTACCAGGACTATTTACATATCGAAATAGCGTTGACATGGCCATTACACCGGGAATGAACTGTTGCGCACCCGTCATCATATTAGTCCTTTATATAAAAAAAAAAAAATCAATAATAAGGAATGATAAACATTTATCCTCGATTATTATAGTCACGTGAAAATGCGAATAATAGCAAGATCCGGTAGAATCGATAAATATCCGGGAGCCATTTGGGAATCGTGAAACAAAGATTGGGAGCCGAATGGAATGTGGGGTCTTCAGAACGTATTTATTTATCGCATGTGTGTATTTTGAACTGCCGTTCGGTGTTCCTCAAAAATCTTAAGACATTTAAAATGTTCAGATTATTGCGTGTGTTCAGTTGAAAATATCACAGTTCGAAGCGTTTTTTGAAACATACTTATCAATACGTCGCGCAGTGTAAACATATAATTTACTCCATAAGTTGTATTTTCAATTACTTCAAATCACGTTACTTTTTTTTAGTGTTTTTCGTGTAATCGCATCCAGCGGATCGCATAAAAACCATATTTTCCACTTCCAGTACTCTTATATGTTTCTAAACAATCAAATCATGATCTTAACCCTACAACATTACATGCGTGTCGAGCAGAACGGTTTTTTTTCCCACCATACCGTACAGTATGCGTACTAATATTATTATTATATGTAGACGGGTAATTCGCGGGACAGTATATTTTTTTTTCTACGTTACGTGCTTTCGCGTGGCGAAATTGGATTATTACTATTATTATTGTTGTTGTTTTTTTAATTCTTTTTAGCAGGAAAATAGTGCGTCTTAAGTATAGGTGTGCAGCACGATAGCGGTTAGGTACCTTTACCACCACTGCACGCATCGCGCACCGATTCCGTAATGTGTTTATTTTTTACATAGGTCTGCGCCATCGACCCGGTCAGAGTTTATCATACGATTATGCATTACCGATGTTCGCATTGACGCAATGCGACTGCTATATTTTAATACGAACATTATGAACACATTATGTAAATGTACAATACCATAGTACACCGCATCATAGCACCGTAGGACGTGTAACATGACGTACTCAAAACTGGCTCAAGGTACAGGCGAGCTAGGCACTTGCCTAGTAGAGGCGGCATTTTCAAAATCGTCTCGTATTTTTTTTTTTATTTCCATCGGTATCCGAAATCAGTTCTCGAGTACATATATAGAAACAAGGTGATAGAACTAACCCAATACTTATGTGATATTAATAATTGTATCGACTTAACTCGTAACTGCTGCAACAGTCGAGAGGAGTTTCATACAAAATTTAAAATATTAAAAACTTATTTGCGATCGAATATATCTCAAGTCAATCTTTCTACTGAAAGCGAAATCGCTGAATAGTTAGACATGAATAAACTCATACAGTTATTTTTTACTAAAACTAAGAAATGTTAATTCAAAATAAAATTAAATTTGTTTTATTTTATTTTATCAATATTGTTATAATAATAATAATTTGTTTAATTTTTTATGGCAAAGGTTTAGTTATTTGTAAGATTAAAAGTGAAAAATATTTTACAAAGCGATAAATATTTGATTATATGAATGCCTAAAATCTAAATACATGCACCTAATGACTTTTCAATAAATTAATAACTTTACATTTTTGTAGTTAAATTAAAAAAGTTTAAATATTTTTCATGTACGTATGTCACATGAAAAACAGAGGGAGGAATTATGATAAAATTAGAGTTCAATTTTTTTTTTTATAGGTAACAAAATTTGATTTTGCCTAGTGCACTATTATTGCTTGAGCCGGCCCTGGATGTACTGCAGATAAATCCCGCGGAACAGCGAACGGAAAGAATTTTTTTTTTTAATGTTTTCATAACATACTTTTTTCTTCTACGATATAAGCCACCTGTTTTTATTCGGGTACCCGCTAATAAATAATCCATAGTTATATTAAATAATAACATTTACAATGCATGTTGACGTCTCGGAGAACAGTGCGCATACACATTATATCAATGACACATCATCGTTAACATATTATTTTTATTATTACTATTTGACGTACAATACGTCATTATGAAAAATAATATATTTGCCGCTTGGATGACGAGATTTTAAAACCAAATTATTGTAGAACAAAAACGCGGATCCTGTACAAAATATTGTCAAACGTGTACCGCATTCGTTATTATTTTATACAATCACTCTACGGATCACAAGGATTTTAGTCGGGATATCGGACCTCCGGTTAAGTTTAAAAATGACTGCGATCTACGTATCGTTTTACGTTGGAAAAAGTTGATTGATTTGTTTATTTCAATCCAAAACTTTTTTCATTTTTCCATACTTAATTTAATCGGTTAACGCACCAACAATCGTATTGTTACGGCTGCTTTATGCAACTTCTCCGTTTTTTTAGCTAAATCGGTTCGTATGTCTAATATACTATTGTATTACAGGGGAAGATTCAGCTCAAGACGTCAACGGTCAATGATAACGCGCAAAATACCAGTTGACATATTACATTTGGTTGAGTAAACTCTCTCGATTTTTAAAACTAGTATACTCTTCTGGATTTATTTCAGAACTACCCGGTGGGTAGATACAGGGGCGGATTGCCCTATCGGGAAATCGGGAATTTTCCCGATGGGCCGCTATATATTATTATATAATTCCCAAAAAAAAGTTTTATTTTGTGAAATAAAAAAAAACCATTAAAAAAATAAATATATATTTAAAGATGCATTAAGATCAAACTTCAAGTTCAAGTTGGAATTAATTAATCATGTAACTTACACAAAACTATTAAAGCTATAATTATAGTAAAGTTATTATAGATTTTTCTAATTTAAGGATGAAACTAAACAAATTTTGAAATTGATGCAAAATAAAGTATTTTTATGGAAGGGGGAGGACTAAAATAGTTTAATTTGCGGTTCATGGGCCGGTTTGTTTCATATTTCCAGGGCCGAAAATAATTGCCAATCCGCCCCTGGGTAGATGCAAGCTCTACCGAGTTTTCTTCAGTACTGCCTAAAAAATAAATGTTAATTCTCTTGAGTTTGTAATAACTTCTCGGTATGTATGTTACAATTTTCAAACTGCAAAGGTCGAGATTTTGATAAAATAATATCGTAAACAATTATAGATTATACGGAATAAAAAATATGTTCAAATTATTATAAAAATCATATTTTTATTTTTTTATTTTTAAATGCAATCTACAATCTATACCGCTTTGGCACAATAAGTAGATGTGATACAGAATAGTTATATACAAATTATTAAAAAAAATACATCATAATAACATTTATACATAATACGTGACATTTTTGAGGAAAACAGCCACCCATTAGTAACATTTTAATTTGCTATTTTAATTTTTTAATTTTTATATATTATCAATTAATATTAATATTAATATTAAGTGTCAATATATCACGACACCATTTCCGTTTTAACCGTCTCGGAGGGTTGCCAGGGATTGTAGGATTAGCAAGATTTCTGACAAGAGGATTGGGATGAGTTAAAGTGCGAAAATGGAAACGTTTATAATATGCTTTAGCTTCTTCTGAAATTGAAGGCATTTTAAGGTCTTTATGTATATTGCAGTTAGAGACAAAGGAAGGGGCATTTAATAATTTGCGAAGTGCGATGTTTTGAAATGTTTGGATTTTGTTAATATTAGTTTATTTTTGCATTTTCTCAAAGCCAAAGGCTATATGTCCAAATAGGCTTTAATAAATAATAGATATATAATCTAAATATATATCAAAGAAGAAGTTCAGATTGATTCATAATTAGCACTCGAATTTAAATGCATTAAAAAAACAGCCAAAAATACCCATAAAAAAGATATTTTATCATGAAAATGTCCTTAAAAAATGACAAATACATTTTTTTTTTAAGATATTCTTTGATTAGATTAATACTAATAAATTATTAGATAAATTATAATTTTATTAAGAGAAAAACTGAAAATTGAAAATATTGACTTGTGGTTGGCGACGATGGTATTGACTGAGAAGCATATTTGAGGATGTAAATATCGTCTGGTGTTAATTCTCCTAAAATGTTTCTTAGAGAGGTTTATTTGTCTACTAAAATTTTTAATTTTTGAACTGCGCTTTAATAGTCACTACAGTTTCGAAGAAAAAAATTGATTTTTTTTATAAGATATTTTTTATTTGTATTTTTTAAA